TATGAGCAATAACAATAGGACATCATTGATTGTCTGGGGGAGAAACCTGTGACATAATGCATCTTTAAGGGTATAACAAAATATAGACAAATCTTTGTTTCTTTTAAAGGTGCAACAATTAGTGCAGAGTGGCCATTCAACGATCATGAACCAGTGTCAAAATATGTTCAAGTTTAGATATTTCATCAAGACTAACATATATTTTTAATTTCTCCCAAGAAACCCCTGGATGAACATTATTTCAGCTGATATTCCTCTTGAAACGTGATGGATCTTAAAAATCTATAAGTGGGACTCCTTTTATAGAAGCTTTGAACTGAACTTTGTATTTTGATCATTACATCGAATATGATGATGTTAAAATGCAATCAAGTATTTAAATGCAGTAATTATAATCAATGTAATAAACTCTCTGTATCAGCATATATTTGTGCAATATTTAAAAAATGTAGTAATCGGGTCATTCATGAAAGCATTTTCTGACTTAACTTCTTATTTCTTGACTTTGATAATCAATTTTAGGAATTAGTAGGCCCCCATCCCGCCCCCACCATATGGTTTTTGCAAGAAATTATTCCTATATCCAGAAGAGCAGTTACATGAAAAATCAGGCAAAACTAATGCTTTAAACTTCAAAAATAAGACTAGGAACTTTAGAGTTAAAGGCCATATTTGATGGAATGTCACTCTCGTTTGAATAAACCATAGGATGAATATGATATCAATATATGAATGATTATCATAAATCAATTACATTGAGTGGATAAAAATATGATATATCATTCCAAAATACCAAGGGATTAATTACAAAGTACCATTATTATGGTATTCTTTTGTATCATACCGTATAGTCAAAGCAGTATCAGGTATGCAACAGCAAATGATAAATCACATATTTGGGACCCCGACTGATATTGGGATGATAAGCAGGATGATATGGGGTTGATATCCATATCATCCCAGTGCAAATTTATTATTGAGAAGAGTATTCTCAAAGGTAAAGGAACAGTAACAGTGACTCCCAAAATGACTTCCAGTGTTATTTTTAGTTCTGTTCCAATGTTATTTCTCATTGTTTGTTTTTTGGAAGATATTGCTTTTGACCATAGTAAAGTGTCGTTATTCATCTATCAGGATGATATAATTATTCACCTGTCGGGGTTAAATGAGTAATACCTCTTGGGTGATATGAATATCATCCTTGTGATATTCCGTCTGAAATCCCCACTACATGCGTAAATAACTACTGACCCCCACACCCTTCATCAATTTGTTTTTTACTAAAATGTGTCTTATTGCTATTGAAAAAATGGTGTGATATTGTTTCTTGCAAAATTGGAAAAACACACTTTTAACTCCATGTTAGGTAAATTTGAATTTGATTATAAAAGAGCTAAATACACGAATAATGACTGAAAGGCTCTTATTCAATCACAGTTCACAATGTATTAAAGTTATGTACTAGATGTTTTTGATATATATTTTAAAAAGGAATGCATGACAAGCAAACTGATGGTACTTTAATCATTAAGATCCGATAGAAAATAACAAGTCTATACCTTTTAACATAAATGAGATAAATTTGACTTCTCTGACATTTTTGTGTCAATTATGTCAATAATGATGTCACAATTGAAACGTTAATGAGCTATTTTGCATAAATTATACTCCATCAAAAAGGAAAAAGCATTACCTTTCATTTGATACCAAACATTAAATTATCTGACGAAAATGAAAGCGATAATCCAAGATAAAACATACCTTGAGCCTTCTTTTCGACATTTCTTTCAAAGGGGATCAGTTTCAAAACAATTTTTTGATTGTGCATGTTACCCTTTTGGAGCTCAATAAAGAAATTTATTAGACCGAAATGGCATATTTTATACATTATTTTGAAGCTGGTATCGTACTCTTTCAAATGAATATGAAAAACGTAATTTTAAATAACGGGACCTTTATACAGGTACACAGCTAAGTTTTATGTTAAAATCTTTTAAATTTTGTCAGTTATGACGTCACAATGGTTATGTTAATGAGCTAATTTGCATAATTCATACCTCATTGTAAAGATGCCATCATGAACTTTCATTTGATACCCATATTATAAATATCTGATAGAAAATAAAAAAGATATCTGGGAATACATATTTTATCATATTAACACTCGTTAAAAGCGGGAGTTATTTATAGCGTCCGTTTCCATGGCAACGGCCCGAGTCAAAATTCTGTTAAACCTCAAATTGGCAATGCATGATATCAGAGCTTTCTGATGGTACCAAAATTTCGCTGGGGGTCATTAAAATATTAAACTCCCTTATTTGAAGGCTTTGGAGGATTTTCCTACTCGTCTATCAGTTATGCCTTGGTCACATTTGCTACGATTTTCACTACGGCGCCCGGTAGATTGAGTATTTTGTTCAAAATTGAATACAAATTTGAACAAAACACTCAATCGGCCGGGCGCCGGCCGATGGATCAGAGCAAATGTGACCCAGACATTAGACAGTGGCTTTCTAGAGGAAAAGTTAGAAGTTATGATTGCACCATAAACAGACTCTAGTAAACCAAAAGCAGACAGTGAAACTCATCAAACTCTAAAGATGAAACCCTATTTTAGAGACCCATAGTAAAACTCTTAATAAAAAGGGTATGTAGATTTTAAACTAGATATTGGTATTTAAAAGGTTAGTATTACTGGAAAATTGATTGTTTATTGCACGGTGTAGTAATTTCTCTCTGCTTCGCAAGTCTTTGATTGGTCAGTTTTTCCAAAGAACAAGAACATATTGTAATATCTTAATTCCATGAATTAATGAAGGTGTTTGCATTAAACAATTAACATTTGTGAACATCAAGCCCCTTTTAGATAAATAGACCTTTCGTATAAACCCTGCTAAGTTTTGCGCTTGCAAGATAGTTTATGTATAAAGCGACAATGTGACCCGGAGCCTATAACATCATAAATCAGACAATATTCCTTGGTTCTCTAGTGTAAAAAGAAGGTTGGATATATTGGAAATGTCTGTCTTGACGTAATTTATGAATAGAAATGAACACCAATATACGCTATTATTTCTTGAAGATAAATGCGAAATGTTATTAGGAATTACTCTAACCCTTCCATTCAAAGCTAGTGATCTGAGAATTGAAGCAAAAAATCCACAACTCCGACTAATGTTTTTCTCAAATCCTATTTTGTGTATGTCGTCACTGTATATGACATGCGCATGTATTTTGACTTATTTTGTGGGGCTTTCACAATATTTGCCTTTATACCAGTGAGAAGGCTGATTTCATAAGAAATCTCGTATTCCCCGTGTAGTCCCTATCTGGCAGTATATCTAATCTTAACTGGGTGATTAGAGGCAGAATGAAGGTATATCTAAGCCAAGGGAATCTTCAATAAATTGCAAAATTGACTCAATTAGCTGAACAAGCCATATATTAACTTGAGCAGTATGCAGTGATTCATGCTATCCTCCATTCCCATATACCAGAGTCTTGAAGCGTTCAAGAACAACTTTTTTTCAAGAGATAGTTTAGCCTGTGTTATACCACCATCTACTTAAAGGGTTCCGATAAGCTTCCCGTATAAAAACAATATGGCGGCTCCTGGATCAGTCCATTTTTAAGAAATAAGGGGAGTTCTGTAAAATCCAGTTTATTGAAATTGTCTTTGAGATAAAGTAATCCGTTTATAATGATTTTGAAAACGTTATCCATAGAGTGATTGCGTTCAAAGAATACAACAGCCAATATAAATCCTTGTATTAGAACTGCTTTGTTTCGTTTGTAGGATATTTCATATGCCAAGCTGTGTGCTATTACATTATGGGGAAATTTAGATGTCAATTTTTCCTTATTATACACAAATAGACGATCCTGAAACTTCACCCATAAATGTGGAATTGATTTGTCAAAATAAAAATCACCCTTTTATAAATGTGTGACGATTTATAATATACTTATGCTATATAACAGTTAGAGGTGTTGACACAACGACCTCGAGCCTGTGAACCCTTGAGTATTATTCCGGGATCGGGCCTTTTATACTAAACGGTGAGCAACACCAGAAACGAGCGTTCGATTTGCTAAACGATATGCGTCACCCTTTAAATACCAATTTACATTTTATATTTCAAATAATTTCATGTTATCACGTTAGATGATATATATATTTATATGGAATAATTTTTTTAATTAAAATTTCGCTAATTTGGGTTAATATGTCAATCAAAGTAAAAGTATATTTTACAAGAATATGATTTATCAGGTATAAATTTTTGTATGAAGGGATTGGATGGAGGTTTAAACATTTTTTAAATAGAATTTAACTTTTTCTCAAAAATATAGTTTTCTGAGATTCTAACAGGCAACAAAGGATAATAAAACTTTAAAAACCAAATATTAGTGTGACAAGTAGATGTGGTCCTTCCTCATTGGATCCCATGTAAAGAATCAGATTTTTACCCTGAAACACACTTTGAAGTATTTAACTTTTTCTTTAGCTCACAGAAACATATATGGTTTATGCACTTTTTGAATAGATAACTTAGGAGTTATTGTTCATCATTTTGTCATTTTAACTCTGTCCATGGGACATCCTCATGAGCCCTATGAGTTCTTTGGCTATCACAGGTCAGTATCAGGAGGGGATAATGGCCATTAGCCTACACTTAGTGTACCAAATGTATAATAACATGAAAAAATAAATTTGATATTTATTGGCAAAATGAATATCTCGGTGATATTGATATATGCACTCGTCCGCTTCACTCTCTCGTGCAGATATCAATATCACCTCGTAGATAAAAATGATATTCCTCAAAATCATAGGATATCCTATAATTATCTTCTTTCAAAATGGAGATGTAAGGGGTTCATATGATCTGAACAATTATCAATTCCAACCTCTGATGATTTTAGGCAATCTTTATCCAGAAGGAGTTGCTTTTTATATAGGTTCATCACCTGTATGTATATTGAATTAATGACCTCACCTTTGAGCCATCTACACTAATAATGCGGTATGTTTGTCGACTGTTGTCATAGAAATATGACACGGGGATGGCGAGCTGGGTAGACTGCAGCCAGCTTTTCTTTGTCTTGGGGTCGATCTGAAAGACATGAGCCTTCGTGGAGTAGATGGGCTGCTCCCTGGAAATATATAAATTTGAGACATATATAAATATGAGAAAAATATAAGTATGAGAAATATATAAGTATGAGAAATATATAAATATGAAAAATATATAAGTATGAGAAATATATAAGTATGAGAAATATATAAATATGAAAAATATATAAGTATGAGAAATATATAAGTATGAGAAATATATAAATATGAAAAATATATAAGTATGAGAAATATATAAGTATGAGAAATATATAAATATGAAAAATATATAAGTATGAGAAATATATAAGTATGAGAAATATATAAATATGAAAAATATATAAGTATGAGAAATATATAAATATGAGAATTATATAAACATGAGAAATATATAAATATGAAAAATATATAAATATGAGATATAGAATTCTAGCTACATACAATCCGAGAGTACTCGGATGTGAGATTAAATCATAAGGCAGCTGAAGGTGTACTGATAGCAGTCTATTGTCACTGTAATCAATATTCTATGGATTTTTCATATAGAGGTCACTGCTGCTCATTGTTTAGATTTGTTCTTCTATTGCCATAAGTTCATATCTTAAAGGTGTTTCAGTGACATAACTTTGCTTTCCATCATCGCTTTTTGGAAATATTTTTTGCCTCATCACTTTTCCTTCCTAGCTACGTCACTACTATTACTTAGCAAACTTCAATCAATATAAAGATTTCTCAAATTGAGAATTCAAACCATGGGCTTTCAACTAGAACTCAAACTGCAGCTTTCTTTATTTTAGGCGATGCACTATTTTATGCAATGTCTATTTCTAACCTCATTCTGATACTCATTGCATCTCCTTTATTACAACAAATTTGCTGATTGAAATAGCCATAGAATCTGTATACCATGTTAAGATAACCCTGGCTCCATATTTCATTGACAAAATATAACTCAGTGGCTGTTAATAAATAAGTTCTATTTCTGCAACTTTTCGAATTGAATTCCTGAAATGTTTCACCACCCTAGTTTGTTCAAATTGGCACCCTTGTTCCTGGAGCCTATTTCGAAAACATATCATCACCACATAACCCCCCCTACATGTTCACAAAATATGAATCTTTATTGAATTCTGCAGTACTTACATGATTTAGAAACTTATTTATTGGATCTGCCTGTGTTATGTCACAGTTCTTTAAATTAATTCCAAAATTGACTCTCTCCTGTCAATGTTAATAATACAAGAGCCATTGTGACTGTATACTGTGTTATTCTAGTCTATAGCTAATGATGTAGAAGTTATCTCCCAGTGATGAGTCAGTTATCCCTAGTATACACATATTCTGTGTGTTTTCCATAGCCTTTATAGCCCCATCATATGCTCTACAATTCAGGTACAATGAAACCTGTATATATGAACACCTCTCTAATTCAAACACATTGCAATGTGGGCAGTTCTTCCTTGTCTAAATAGACTGTCTTAAGAAAATGTTAAATCTTGGTCAAAAATTTGTTGTGTCCTATTGACTCACATATTCAAAAAACTTTGACATGTGAACACCTGCAAATTCGAACACTTTTGGCCATTCCAAGTAGCATCTGGATTAGACAGGTTTTTCTGTAGAAATAACACAATTTGATCAGATACAAAAATTCCAGTAATTACACCCCAATAGTTCTAAATACCAAAACACTTGAGAATATGACAGATACATTAAGAGCAACTCTGAATTCCCAACAGTTCGCCACACTGCCCTCTGACATTAAAAATGATTTTGATGCTGGTAATGATTTTCATGACTCAAATGTACCTTGCATATTCTAAAGTGTGAAATTATTAATGATAAATCTTTGAGTCAGAAAATAGAGTACCATATTTATATCATCATATGCATTATTTTAATTGGTTATAGGCTAGTTCAAAGAATTATCTTCATTTTAAAGAGTACACAGGGAGATATGCCGAGTACTAAAATAGTACTCATGGCATTTTAGCACTAATGGAGTACTCATTTCAGTAAATATTAGTACTAAATGAGCACTTATGACATGAATACTGATTTGTTGCATGTTTTAGTACTAAATGAGTACTCATATGAATGGGAACAAATATCTTCTGATTAATAAAGAGATGTTTGGATTAGAAAGGGATTCAGATTTAAGGGGTGTTCTACTTAATGCAAATAGGTGTTTGGATTGGAGAGGTGTTTAGATTTAAGAGGTGTTCTGGCTATGTAGAGGTGTTTAGATTAGAGAAGTGTTCCAAATAGAGTCTAAGTGTTTGGATTTGCGAGTCATTCTAATATACAGGTTTTACTGTAGAAGTACTGGTCTTCCTATCAAGCATGGACATATTCATAAAGGTTCAGATCAACTGGTTTTACTGTAGAAGTATTGGTCTTCCTATCAAGCATGGACATATTCATAAAGGTTCAGATCAACTGGTCCCTTGAGAGGTATTCCTGGATTAGACGGCAAAAGATATATTTTATTGCCGATAAGACAATAAAACCTTAATGAACTGCATGTTTTATTGCAGAGTCAACCTCCCAGATATTGGCAATGTATATACATGTATATATAATAGACAAGACATTAATATTATCAAGGGTCTACAGGCTTAGGATTTCATAGCCTGGGAACATTTTCATTGCAGCTGCAAATTAAGAAAATCTGAACTTGACGTAACAATCAGAATAAAATCAAATTTTCTAATTTGCCTGAAAATTATACTATTGAAGCCATTACGCAGGATCATAGAAATAAAATGATCAATTTATATTCATAATATCAAGGCAAAAATTTATTGGAAATGGAGAGAATGGCACATGGGGATTTTGAATTATTGGACTTTTGAAGATTAAAGCAAAAACGGATGATATGAAGCTAGATATATATCAGGCCATCATTAATGTTATTAATACAATACTGAATACAGTAAAACCTTCAGAAACACCTCCTTATGTGAACACTTTTTCTATCTTAAAAAATATGAACACTTGCCAATATGAACGCTTTTATGTGGTCCAACTGGTGGTCAGATTAGTAAGGTTTAATTGTGAATAATCTTTTTTAAAGTGAATCAAAGCCACGATGAGAACATCCCATTGTAAAAATACATGTAGAGCTACAACTACTTAATCATTCATCCATTTTATCAAGATTTGTTTCTAACATGTTGATGCATTGATGAGATTCTTATAAAAGTAATATGTGACCTTTGATCTTTGGTCTTTATTGCATGAAGAACACAGCGCCTGAAAGAGAACGTAGAAAGAACTAAGAAAAATTTAAAATCTGTCTGATATCACAAATTAGCATCAAAATAAAGTAGAAATCGTTTTGCATAATATTTTGTCTTCAGAATAACATATATCTCAGTCATAAAGTGTTCTGTGTAATATTATATTTTAGACACTCAAAAGATTCTTAATGAATAAGTTCAATCAGAATATTCAATTAATTGATTGAAATAAGGTGAATTGTAACATGGGAAAAGTGACATAAGGATCAAGCATATGTACACTGTAGATTGTCTTTCCTTAAATCAAAATCATTTAGCATTAGAATGAACATTCAGATTTTTCAAACATCAAGCCCTCAAATGAGCCATCTTGAGATATCAAGGCCTTCTACTAGCTTCACACAAGTATGAGGACAGAGAGATGTGAGGAGTATCAGAATGCAAATGAGAATATCATAATATAGCACCAGCTTTCAAGTAAAATATAACATTCGATCATATTTCAAAATGTCAAAAAGAATACAATAAGCAGAACCTTACAAGAAGACAAGTAGCTTACATTATATGGAAATATCAGAAAAAGAATCGATTCACTCACATTTTAACATGGAAAAGCCATGAGTAAGCATGAAATAGACCAGTGAGAATTCAGAATGGGTGAAGGTACTTTCAGATATGGTACATAATTGATTTGTCTTTCATGGCCCATTGCACACTCTGATATTTTGATTAACTGCCTAGTTTGCTTATTGAAGATATTTGTTAAAGTCGGGTTTTTGGCATAACTCGTAAATCATCATTTTAAGTGGTATTGGGGAATCCATGACAGCTTTTTACATTGTAATAATAACATATTAGTCACTTATTCTAAGTTTGAAGTCAGATGCATCTAACACAAATACTGTGTAACATAGAGACAAGGAAATCAAACCTTGAGTTATGTATAGCAAATATTCTTTTCTATTGAGGTTAATACATGTTTCATCCTTCTATTGATATTTCCCGCAGCACAAAGGGAGAAGCAAGTTGCCCTATGTGCTTTTTTGTGCCCACGTTCAACCTTTTTCATCGAATCATTGAGGTTTAACAAGAATAACATGCATTATGTATACGGATATTTTACTGAATTTCATCAATGTTATTATTGTCGTGTGGTCGACCAATTGTATAATTAGCTGGAATGCAGCAGGAAATATCAGGTAGGTTGTTGTACATACATTGAAACAAATACTGGAAAAAGGCTATGTACGTGTATCTGCAACATTCTAAGTATTTTCATCTTCATCTGAAGTATTTGGATCCCACAAATGATATTCTGATATTATATTATTTAAACATGAACACTTTTAATTCAAATTTTAATCCAATGTGTTAGATCTTAAAACTAATTTTCTACCTTGCATGTATGTACCATTCAAAGGTTTATATGAGGTTTACATCATTTAAATACACACCTCATTGGCTTGTAATATAAGCCAAAACAACCCAATAAGGTGTGTATTAATGATTAACTTTCCTGTTATCTCAAAATCTGCTTAGAACTGTACCATTGGATTTCTATGGGAAATTCCTCAAAGAGAAAATTCTTGGGATTAAGGAATGGGTACCATTTACTCAATTTGAGAAATTATTGGCATACATGAAACTTATTTAAAACAGCATTAATATTATTCAAAAGTGATCGTAATAATTATTTCCAGCCCTCTGAAGTTTGAAAAATAACAATATCTGAGTGTTAATCCAGAAATAATCCCCGAAAATGAGAAATACTTTTTGGGATTATATAGTGCAATCTTATAGTCAATTAAATATTTTAAAGTGTATTGAGGTTTTTTAGATGAAAAACACAAGCGAAATGCATGAAAAAACTACCCCGATTCATTCTACAAACAACTCGCGATCCTTTCACAGAAAAACCACACACACACCATTGTCCATTTAATAACGCACAAATAAACTCCCGGATCCTACAAAACCATTAATAAACACATAAAAGATAAAACAAAAGAACGAATTTACATATATAAAACACAAAGTCATAACGTGGTCAAAACCACACAGCTATGTTCTGGTATATTAAGGTGGTCGGGTTTGTATTCAGTCTCTAAAAAATCACAATGATGAGAAGTCTGATGATCATTTTCACCTGTCTTGCTGCTGTATCTGCCCATGATCTATGTGATCAAGATGATGTTGAGCGACTTTCTCGGGAGATTTCTGCAGTGAAAGCGGAGGTTCTCATGCGTAAGAGTAAGTAAATTAAAATATAAGAGAGATTCTTAGAAAGCAAATTATTTCAGACAGTAAAGTCTTCTATCTACATGATCTACAAAAACCTAAAATAAATAAAATGAAACAAAAATCTTGCAAAAAAGACCTGTCAATGTATGGCAAATGATTTAAGACAATTTCTCGTTCATTGCAATGAGTGCTGAACCTGAAACCACTTTGTATTCTTGTACCGTCACTATTCATTCAATGGGGGGTAACATATATAATAATTAAAAAATCATTTTTATTATTTATATATATGGAGGTATTATTTATTTATAAGCAATACATATGATATGCTAAATGGAAGTTTTCACTCATATTTGTTGTTAAATGTATAGTTTAGTTTGGTTAATTTATTTTTTATTCATACAAGTAGTGGTCAGTCTTACAATTCAACAAAGTATACTGATACTCATATGTACATCAATATTTTAAAGCCCGGTGTCTCATAAGTCAACATTGGCTGGTAGTTTTTTTAAACATGTTCTACTTATTTGTACCAAATGCCATTCTTAATGCCATTCTAACTTAATGAAGCATTCAAACATGACCGTGCTCTATTCGAATTTCTCAACCAATCAGAATGCAGCATAGCCAATATAGAACGTTCTCTAATTCTCCATAGATGCACGACCATGCTCTATTCAATCTGCAATTTGCATTGTTTTGAGTGACGTCACATCTCAGCTGCACATCTGGGGCTCTGTCCGGGGATAGCTGTTCTTTTTTATAGAATCTTGACAGCATGCGTATTCTTCCTTCATGCCCGTTCCACAGACACGGCTTTTACTAATTTTTATGTTTGAATCGGAATAAATAATGATAGGCCATTCAATATGGTGAAATTCAGCACTCGTTGGACAGAATGTTAGTACAAATGCACTCACCTTCGGTTCGTGCTTTGTACAACATTCTGTCCAACTCGTGCTGAATTTCACCATATTGAATGGCCTATCATTATTTATTCCTTAAACATATCGCTTGCTGTATAATCTATTTATGTAATAAAAATTAGAAAATAAGTTTGATATTTTGAAAATTATGTTACGGTAGTTACGGTAGAGTCCTTATTCATGTTTTTGGAAAGTCTCATTGATAACTTTATTATCCTGGGGACATAGAGGAAAACATCTCATTTTGATTTTACACTCGAAATTGCCAAAAGCAGATCATTTTGTCACGTGTTTATTTAGCCTTTCCATCTATGGATTTATATTTTAGCCTGCCCTAAAGACTTCGCCTACAATGCAGAGTTGGATTCATCCTATAATTTCGTTACTTCGCTTAGGCTAACATGGCTCAATGCCCTTCTATATTGTAACCGAATGGGGGCAAACCTAGTGGCTATAGACTCACAGAAAGAGTATGATTTCATCAAAGCTGAAATCGAACGAACAGATTTAGGATGGCCACGAGGAGCTGGCCATGACTCTTTCTACACTGGTGGAACAATGCTCAATGGATCCCCCTCGTTGAAGTTGAACGCATGGCAATGGGCAGGCGGAGCAACATTCAAGTCTAAACCAATGAGTTATGCACCATGGCATAGTACGCAGGGGATCCTAACTGATACGAAGGATTCATTGTGTCATGTCCTATGGGCACCAGGAGCATACAGTTGGCATGATCATCCATGTCATTTCAAACATCATTTCATCTGTGAAATATAAATATGAGAAATAAAATCTGATTGATATCTCAGTTTATTCAAAAAATATAAGAAGTTTTGTCATTCATAGAATTATAATCTCCAGCCATGTTTCATTGTGTAGGATAAAATAGGATAGAATTGTGGTATATAGGAAAAAAGGAAATACAATAGTAGTTAAAATGAAATCGTCATGTTAAAGGGTTCCATATTTGATTGTCTTTATTATAGACTATGTACAAAGACGTTCCAAATTTTTTTTTAAATCAAATATTTCAATGTAAACTATGACTGGCAACAAATAAAAGCAAACACATATAAAATGTATATACCAAGATATGATACAAGGGGATACTAAAAATGCTCCTCTGATTTTAGAATTAGTTTCTCAATTATGATGGAATCATCATAATAGTATTCATTTATATATAAGATAATATAGTATATAAGAAACAGGTGCATCATGCAATCTCATGTCCCTAACAAGATGTCTAACTAAATATTACTCAGTATAGAGATTTATGAAATGCCACCATCTCAGCACTATGATTTTTACCACAATGTCTTACCTTAAATTTTTACCCAATGTTTTACCTTAAATCTTTACCTCAGTGACCGAAGTGCCACTTACAAGATCTAAGCATCCATTCTCCACGACTCATTTAGCAAAAGGAGAAAATATATAAATGTATAGGCCTACAGTTAATGTAGCACTGTCTAAACCAAAAATATTGTTGTACCATTCATTCAATGAAAGAAAGAAACCTGCAAAAACATCTTAATTATTTCAATTCCTTTGAATCATTCAACAGACATAGTATGGTAATACAATTTGAAAATACTTCAACAGATGAATCTACTTACACAAACTCAACAGACACCCAAACTCCTTTATCAGTAGCACGATCTGACATTTCTGAAGATGCCTTCCAAACCATCTCCGAGATAATGCCTCTCTTAAACCTCTTGTGATTATTATTGTTACAGTACAAGAAATCTTACTCATTATTATAGTCACATTGGAGCTATAGTCGGTTGTATTATTCCTTTGTTACTCGTTATTATGACATAAATTATTCAGGCGTAACCTCGGGTAGCACCGTCTATTTTACCTCACCTCAGTCTATGTGTCTTACAAAGGAGGACTACATATCCCAGGAATACTCAGAACAATAGGGCCAAGATTTGAAAATGTGTGATCAATATCAAGAGGCAGTGTGCATTATGGGTCAGAGAAAGTTTTTTTCAGGGAAATTGTTTTTTGTGCTAATATTTACTTAATGAGATTTGTAGTAGAAAATCATTATCCCTGAGGTATTTGTGTGAAAATCAGTCTTTGTATGTGAAAATAAAATACATATACAGAATATATCTATAAATGGAACACCTCTGTAGAACATCCCTATAATATAAGTATAATACATCTATTTGTAGAACACCTCTATAAATGGAACACTCTTTTAAGTGGAACACCTCTACAAGTCGAATATCTATATTTCTCTATATGTATTTCTCTAAATCCTGTATTTCCATTATAACTCAATTTTTACCATTATGTTCCATATCATACTGAAAAACTCCATGTATAGAACATTTCCTGGAATATCATAAATCATTGTAAATGCAAAATACTCCCTTTTAGGACTTGTCACAGCCAGCACTGTAATCTGTTATATATGTTAATGAAGATTTCAATAAAAAATAATAATAAGGCATTGATTTCTAATTTCTATTTACATCTAAGTATTTGGTAAAACTATAATATTTCATGTTGTATAAATATGTCAAGGAAACAAAAGAAAATGAAAGATGAAATTAGTAAGGCATCCTAGATCAATAATAGATGAATTACATATGGCTCGATACTAAACAACGTCAGAAGAACAATCAAAGCAGAAAGAGAATGATTGCAAATTAGAAGATATATGACAGTCACGTAGCTATTAAATATTAACACAGAAAATAAATTGACAGGACATCAGTTTCTATCATGTTACACTTTAATGAGCGTCCGGAAAATAAGTGTGAAGGTCCTCACTTAGGCATTGCATCAAACATATATTACCAGGGGTGTAGTCAGGATAAAAAGTTATATGAGGCAAATATAAGATAGGTGAGGCAAATATAAAACTAGACGAGGCAAATATAACATAGATGAATAAATATATTTCTGTAAATGTTGGTTAGACACTTGCCTTACTGCCTCATGCCTTGCCCTGATGTTTGACATAAGACAACTTTCTTTTCACATTAACTAAACATGAAAAATTAAATTGTTTTCACCAATCGAAATGTAGAAAATTTGATAATAAATACTGCGTTACTTCTGCATTGTAGCAGATAGTTAGACTTTTTTTTTTTTTTTTTTTTTTTTTTTTTTTTTTTTTGTATGTTATAGTTATAGTTTATAGTTTATTTCATAATATAACAATGTAAAGTACAAAACGTGTGCACTCGACACCCTTAGTAATTGGGCGTATCAGTGCTTATTTCAAAATGTGTTGCAGAGCAACCAAAATTACATATAATATAACATATAACAATACAGATACAATTAATAGATACAATACAGAAACTTTGAAGTCTTGAGAGAAATAATTAAATAAACAAAATGTGATTTTATGTAATGTTATCATTCATCTTTTCCAAAAGGTCCTTTTTAATGTTATGTTTAAAAGAATTCAAAGTTTTACATGTTCGAAGTACTATTGGCAAAGCATTCCATAAAATGGCACCAGAATATGCCACTGACCTTTTTGTCAATTCAGTTTTTATTTTACAGGGGTGTATATTGTGGAACTGTCTAGTAATACGATTTCCAACATTGTGATTATATATGTATGTAAAGTAGTTTTTGTGAATGTGTCAATTAAATTAACAGCTTTTGCTAAAATATGCTCCAATACCCAAATTGATGATTTGAGAAATGAAATAAATACAATTACACTGGAAGAATAATAATTAGTAGAAAATGGAAAATTAATGCAATAGGCTTTTAGTTTAGACATTTGGGTTTGATTTCGAGTTCACAAGAGAGAGACTCAACAATATGTTCTAAAAAGTTCTTCCCACACTTATTCGGAAGGGGGGGGGATTAGGCATCCATATTCCATATTGGTATTAAGTACATCCTAAAAAATATTAGGATACATGTATTTACATTTTCTTCAGTTGCTCAATATGTGCCTGTCTCTACAATAAAACCTGTATTGGTAAATATCCCTTTAAGGTAAATCATATACCTCAAAATACTTCACATAAACATTCCTAAAAGTGAATACCTCAAAATATGAACACTTTTCAATTCTGTTTTGGATATTTACACTTTCTTTTTAAATTGTCCCATCCATCTATGCCACAGTTACGATTTAAGGTGAACAACCTCTAAAAATACCACACATGTACATGCATATATGAACACCCTTTAAAGGGAATACCTTGAGTTCCATTTTATAGAGAACAAATTTACCTTTTCCTGTTAAGTTGTCCCATATGTGCCTGAACCCAAGCAGTAACTAGAATCTGCTGCACCTCAGCCACTGACATATCTTCCAATATCTCAAGCCCTGGCATCAAGCACACTTAGAGTTACAATCCTAGAACTTATTCTAGTGTTAGCACACTATTCCAATATTAGCACACTATTGCAATGTACCTTCCAATATCTCAAGCCCTGGCATCAAGCACACTTAGAGTTACAATCCTAGAACTTATATATTCTAGTGTTAGCACACTATTACAATGAAAGTTTTTCAATGTTAGCACACTATTCCAATATTAGCACACTATTGCAATACACTTTCCAATTCTCGAGCCCTGGCATCAAGCACACTTATAGTTACAATCTTTGAACTTCTATATTCAGTGTTAGCACACTATTACAATGAAAGCATAATATTTCAATAACAGTGCACTATTTCAATGTGAGCACACTATTCCAATGCCAGGACACTATTTCAATGTGAGCACACTATCTAATGATAGCACATTATTCAGAGGATTCACTTCATTCCAATTTGAGAATATAATGAACAAATCACACTTTTCTGAACAAAGCACACTTTTCTAAAAGAAGCACGCTGTCAATTAGTGGTCATCAGCACACTTTGCAATTAAAATCCATATAGTCTGAAGTTCATTAAGCAAAATGTTAAAATATTCTTTTTTACTGCAAACTCTAAACGTAACAGGTTTCTTCTCAAGAATGTTTAGATGTCGCAGAAGTAATTAATAAATTTGATTACTGCTAGCGATTAAACTATTTACACCCTTTTGAACTCCAAAGCTTATTATTTCCGTTAGCAGGTAAAAAAATGTTTCTTAAGTCCTGAATTCCTTTTCCTTGAGAGTTTCGTTAATTTTCCATTTGGATTATTTGAGAATGTCGTGTGAAATAACCGTCATGTTGTCACTGACTGTCAGTTAAATGATCTTGAATGTCCCTACAGGAACATCCAATCACTTTTCACTATTTCAAGTGTTGTGTAAATCCTGTGTAGCATATAGTGACTTCATCACGCTACTTTCTAATCATCAAAATTTTATCTGAACATCCTCCATCTTTAAGATATAATTATAGTACTGCTGGTGCTTTGAAATGATCTAATAATATAACAATTAATAACAATCCTAGAGTTGTCAAATTACATTCATCATAAATTCCTAGTGTTCAAATAGACCTGGATAGGTTAATGTTGGAGGGATCATTAGCTTGTTAGCTTTCATTTTAATCAGCCTCAGCTGTTTCTATGTCTACCTTGTTAAATATATCATAGATATTGAAATTATTTGCCCATTCAAAAACTGATCCTGGCCAATTTAGGCCTTAATGCCCTTAATCCGTTCAATACTGACGATGTGTGTTATCCCAAATTGTATCAATATCCAAATACAGATAGAAGAATGATATGACCCATGGTCCTTTGCAGGGTCATGTGATTAATTCTAACCAATCAAAATCCAAGTTAAATACAGCTGAACTTAGTCCCACAATTCTTTGCTCACTTGTTTTTTCTCTCACGATGTTGTTTGTTAACTTCCAAATTGTTTATTTCAATCGAAACTGGA